ACCCGGAGCCATCAACAGAGTGGGAGCCCGCACTCATCCGATCGAGGTCCTCATGTGGGCACCTATTGGACCCTCGGCTGCACAAGGGGCCGGGCCCTGTACGCTTCGGGTTGATAGGGCTTCGCTAGCTTGTTGGTTTAACATTGTAGGCTTCAAAATGCCAAGGTGCAGCAGTGAAGCACTCAAATCCCAATCCTCTACACTCAAACCCAATATGAACCCAAAGGCCTAAGCCCTCAACCTTACATGCATATAGGCCCCATTAACCCTAAAACTCTCACATGCATATAGGCAGCATTTACCGTAGGCCCTATATGTCTCACAGATTACACCCCGAACCCTACGCTGCAGGAAGCGCCACAGGCGTCGAGCTTCCCGCACCTCGTCATGCTTGAGCTTTTTTGGCTTACCTTTGGTTAGTAGGGAATGGAAGAATGGGGTACAATTATAGCTACTATTACTACCATTCTTCCATTCCCTACCAACCAAAGGTAAGGCTTTTTGGATCTCGAGGTTTGGGGTTTAGGTTTTTCCGGTTTCGGAGAGGGGCTTAGGAGGTCAGGGTTTGGTGTTCAGGAGGTCAGGGTTAGACCCGGTTAGACGCTGGACGCTGAATCCTAAATCGGTCAGGTGACTACATCAATAGTCTGTAATGCTCCAGATACTATGATCTGCTACGTCGGCCTTGCGCAGGAGGAGGAGGCAGCAGCATCAGCATGCAGCATTAGTAGTAGCAGCAGTGGTAGTTGTCTTCGTCGTAGCAGTAGTAGCACTTGTAGCAGCAGTAGCAGTTCTCGTAGCGGCATTCGCAATAGTAGTCAGCATCGTCGACGCCTGTCGCCATATCCCGGGATCTATGAACTCGGTTTAGGATTCAGCGAACCCAAGATTTCTCGAGCAAAGTTTCCCTGTCCTGTTTCTGGGATGCCGGAGCAGAAAGTTCCATTCATCGAAGCTACCAACCAACTAGGCTTGGCCTTGATCCGCCGAAAGCCTGAATCCGCAAAGGCACTGGCGGGGGCGGATCCGCAGCTGAATGAATCAGTGCCTTGCCCAGAAGAGATCATCCTCCAGATCATGATATCGGCTCTGTGTTTGTGTGCCACTTGTGCGGTGCTGGTTATGTGCTCCTTCTGGACTTGTCATCTTCCGACTGCAGCTGCTTCAGCTGCTTCTTCTTGTCCTGCTTCTGCTGCTGCTGATGCTACTGGTGCTGCTTGCCGGTATAACAACAACAACAGCAGCAACAGCAACAGCAACGGCTACTGCTACCGTGGCTTCCACGGCGACTGCGACTTCACTGGTGCTGCTGCTGCTGCTGCTACTACTACTACTACTACTACTACTACTACTACGACTACGACTACGACTACGACTACGACTACGACTACTACTCGTCGTCGTTGTAATTGTAGTCGCAGTTGCAGTTGTAGTCGCAGTCGTAGTCGTAGCCCTTGTCGATGTCGTCGTTGTTGTAGTGGTAGTAGTTGTAGTAGTTGTGGTCGTTGCAAAGTATTAGGACACTGTAGTTGGCCGGAGTAGTAATTGTTGCCGGCAGAGGAGGAGTCGGCGGAGGAGGAGGAGGAGAGGAGGGAGGTGAAGGAGCAGGCAGAGGGAGGAGGAGGAGGAGGAGGAGGAGGAGGAGGAGGAGGAGGAGCAGCAGCAGCAGCAGCATCGATTTCAACAATTTCGTATGCAAACCCGAATTAACTTCGAAAGGACGTACCTTAACAACAGCTTTGGTTGCTGTACAGACTCCTTGACGCTCCCAGCCTTTTGTGCCCGGACCCTCGATTTCTTAATGACACAGCTGCTTCCGAAAGAATGCCTTCTCAAGCTGAAAGCTACCTCCCGAAGACCGCCGGATTCAGAATTTTAGAGCATCATTTTCCTGAACTGACAAACCGCGTTTCGGGCGACGCGCTTAGGGCGTAGAGGTGGGAATGCGTTCCGACGGCGCAGCCTGCTCATGTCACACGATTTCGATGCCTGAGCATAAAGTTTCCCGTGGTAAAATGTCAGCTCAAACGCAAGTGTCGAAGGTGATTTGGTCTTGGGGCCCATATACCCGTGTAGTATAAGCATGGGCATTCAGAGGAAACCGCATGCGATATGTAGCTGCATGGCCGAAGCACCGTATGTACTTTCTGACCTCCGAACCCAAAGTCCTCAACCCAACCCTAAACGCAAAGCCCGAAAAAATTCTCTGAACCCTAAACCTCCCGAAACGCACCCGGAGCCTTAAACCTCCACCGGAGTTCTAGCTACGCGTACCCCAAGCCCTGAACCTCCGAGGCACCAAAGCCCCTTCTGTGGATGGATTTGCATGCCGACTCCATCCTACAGGCTGAATTTTTTGGAGGGTTCTATGAGGGATCTATCAGAGTTTTGGGTTATATGGTTAGTTTCAGAACGAAATGTGCTGTGTTACGAGGATTGAGGAAACCCGTCGTAGATTATTTACGAGCCCAGCTGGGGCTTGGGGAGTGTAGGTTACAATCACAGGGGAAAAGGAGGTACCCTCCATGGGGACCCCTACCCTATAATGGGTATATAATAGCTATATTACGGGTATACATATACCTAGGGGTCCTTATTAAGGGTCCCTCCTTTTACCCTTGGATACAAGGCTGGTTACGTTCACCGAGGGCTCCTGGATCCTTGTAGAGATCTATAAGGTGTCCATAAAGGGTTTAGGGTTTCCGAAAATTTGGGGTACCTTTAAGGGGATCCTCTTGCGGGTTCCTTGTAGGGATCTATAAGGGTTCGATTCTATAAAGGGTTTAGGGTTTCCGAAAATTAGGGGTACCTTTAAATCGGGTGTCCTTACAATAAGGGTTCTACCAAGGCTACTACAGTAGGGTCCCCTATTTCCTGGAACAACCAGCCAAACCAACACCTCAGAGTCAGAGTCTGCAACCCTGAATGCCCTGACATCTAAACCCCAAGATATCCGAACTACCCCTAAAAGCCCGAAACCCTTACTAAGCTAAGCCATCATGAAACCTAGGACTGCTCAGGCACTGTCGTCTCTCATCCCGGAGTCTCAGCAAGGAGGCTGGCAGAAAGCTTGCTTTAGGGTTTACGATCTTAGGCTGTATATAGGCTTCAGACTTACTAGTTGTGGGCTGAGATGCTTGTAGCCAAGTTTTGGGCGTGAGGCAGTTGCCGTTTGTTTCGGGATGTTTCGGGAGATTTGACAGGTTTGGGAGCATAGGTAGACGAAGCATGCGTGGAAGATGCCGTCCATTGACGACGTGACAGGTCAACTACCCACCTGAACAGCTACTGGCATGACCAACGAATCAAAACAAGGCGATGTGCAAACAGATAAACCGGTTGCTGGGTAAGAAATGAAGTACACTCCTTAGCACTCAACCCCTCGATTCCAGCATCCTCGATCGAAACCATCCGCCCTCGAGTCTTCCGAGTGAAACGGATCAGAAAAGCAACTGAGATGGCAACTAGCTCTAGTTTCGATCCAGATCCCAGAGCAGCACCTGTCTTCGAGAACGTTGCTAAATCAAGTCTCATCGTCCAGAAAGCACAGGCATGTATAAGTTCAATGTTTTTCCCGAAAGGCACCGTGGTCCCATGTGGCCAGTTGAAGGTAAAGATGCTCAGTATGTTCATGAGTGTTGTCTTGATGAGCTTTCACCCGAACCAACCCGTGGCCCTCGACCCAAGTCCATAGACGCTCCGGCAGGCCAGATGCCGTCGTTGAACCACAAGGGATTGCGCCAGGACTCATGCGAGGGGCGTGTATGTAGCGATGTTGGGACTGAGGGCATTGTCTAGGTCCAACAGTTGATTGGAGGGCTGGGATTCACTTCGATCTTTCTCCAGTAGTTGACGTTGGCCATGTTCATTACTTGTTTAGGCTGACTGTCAACGAGTGTTGAGTCCCGCTTCAGAGAGCAATGCGTCCCAGTGTAGCCTGTGTTTCGTGCATGGGCTGCACCAGGCCTTTTCAGACCGTGAGAAAATCCAACAAGCACATGTAGGCAGCGACAGAGCCTTTCAAATCCCGTTTAGCACCTAGAAAGGGTATCGTCTGAAAGCATCTCTGCGACTCTGCAGAAGGTTTCGGAGCTAGGCTTCAGGGTTTATGGTCGAGGGTTCATGGTTTAGTTTATGTTTCCAGGCTAGACCACCCCTTCACATCTCACCTCTGGGTTCTGGGAGAAGCTCTAGAAGGTGGCGGCCTGCGAGACTGAGTCCGACTTGAGATTGTTGAAGTTTAGGGCTTTAGGGTTTTAGGGTTTGGGCTTTTTGGGGTTTTGGGGTTTACACAGGGTTTAGGGTTGTACGGTTTAGGATGTGGGGCTTCTTTCAGTTCAAGACACATCGTCGTCATCATCAGGAGCATCAACATCATCGCCAACATCACCAGTATCAACTGCAGCTCTACCATCACGTTTATCATCAGTATTATGCTAACTTAAAAAATTGGTACGGTAGACGGCAGAATAATTTCGATTGTGATTCCTTAAAGTTCCGCCACAATAGATGCCCAAACCCGTACTCTAGTGATTGAGGCTCCTATAAGTATGTGTATGTATACATATATATATATATATATACATATATAGACATCTATAATATATATATATATATATATACATATCTCTGTATAATATAGATAGATAGACAGGTAGGCACGTAGGTGGATGGAATATCTCCCAGTCTACTGACTAGGGTCCCTTTTGTTACTGCGTCCCAGAAGGAGCCGTGTGAGCTGCGACCAGCCCGGGCCGGGAGCCGCTGGGCACAAGATTTTCGGGGCCTTACTTGGAGGATCATGGGACTTAGTAAGTAAGGTTATAAGTACCTTAATGGGAGTTATAAGTAAAGTTACCTGATTTATATCCCTAGTTAATTACTAAGCCCAATGATCCTCCAACTAGGCAGGAGATTTGTGGGTTTAGGGTTCAGGGTTTCGGTGGTTTACAGTATATGGTTTAGGGCTGAGGGTTCAGGGTTTAGTTTAGGGTTTAGGGTTTGGTTCAGGGTTTAGTGTTAAGGTTTCGGTTCGTTCTGAAAGATTTAGATCCGTAGACTTGCAAGGGGCCTATCGATTTACCTTGTCTACGGCGTTTTGGGGGTAGTAAGTAGGCTGAAACCAGGGTCATAATCTTGGCAAGCCCACCTAGGGTACTTATAACTCGATGACATTGATCATTTCTGGATCCCATGACCCCAGAGTCAGAGCATCTGCCCTGTCCTGGGGAGCTTGTTTGTGTTTGGCTTCTAAGGGTTTAACAAAACAGTAGGGTCGATGCTCTCCAACAATACCCGCCCCTTGAAAATGTAGTGCCTGTTTTTGTTCACCAATGTTATGATGAAGACGCAAGCAAGAGAACTAAGAACAGTAACTAGAATTGGCGACCTAGACTTAGATAGAGATTTGAACCCGAAGCACTGGAGAATGCGTCGGGCGCAGGCAGGCCACCCAGGCCATCACTGGCACCGAAACGTGATCTTTACTTCCTGAAGCCCGAACTTTCAGCCCCAAACGCTGAGCTACACCTAAACTTGACCTAAACCCGAGCAAAGACTCACCCCAATTGTCCAAGAGACCCCAGAAACCTCAGCTGGGCAGAGATTTGGGGTCGAATCCTAGGGATCGGGCGCATCCTAAACACTGATTCCCCTACACTGGTCGTAGAACCTGAACTCCTAAACAGGCATTCCAAGAATACTCGTTCTCTTCCAAAGTCCTACTCCAGAATTGAAAATCCCCAAACCTTACACATAAACCGCAGAATTTGAAGTGCAAGGGCCCGAAGGTTCGATTTCAATGTAGTTTTCCAGAATGTTGGAGGGCTGCCGAGTCTTCTGTCTTCGGTCTCAGGGAAGAGTGCCTTAACACTAAGAATAGAACAACAGTTCATCATAGTCACGCTAACGACAAAGGGCCGCAGTCGCAGCTGTGGTGGTTGCAGCGGAAATTAGTACTAGTATTCGAGTACGAAGTTCGTCAACAGAAGCAGGAGCAGGAGGAGCAGTAGGAGGAGGAGGAGGAGCACTCGCAGTCGCAGTAGCAGTAGCAGTAGCAGTAAGCAGTCGTTGTCGTCGCTGTAACAAGTAGCAGCAGCTTTTAAATGTTTGGGGCTGAGGTCTTAGGTCTCAGGAATCCCCATTTGTACTCGCATGCTACCCATATATGTAGTATCCTCAACCTTAAGCTGGGGATACTGGTTCCAAGGCGCACTCCTGGCACTGGCGTGGCTTGCCGCTTTCCCAGTCCTGCGCAAAAAAGTTTCTCTCAGGGTCCGCGTTCGCATGTAGCGAAAGCCTTGTCCCTGAAGTGCCTAATAGCCTCTGTATTAGCCCTAGAAGGACGAACAATATGATATATATATATATATATATATGTATGCTGCAAGCCCTTGGGATTTGTTGCGGCCCTGTACTAAATCCTCAGCCGTCCAAAATGCGGGTTTAGCGTTTGGAGGTCAGGCCTTTCTTCCCTCAAGACTCGGAAAAACCCTGCTTTGATTCCAAATCCACCGCCCTGCGTCCTGAACTCTTGAATGTATCCGCTTTGTTGGTGTTGTCTTAGGTGGCAATTTGGGGAATTTTTAGTTTCCTCTTTTGGTTCCTATAGAGGTATCTATTTACAAGTACTTTGCAGAGCCCCCAAACTACAACGCAGTGTCTGAGTTACGGTAGGGATCTGGAGTCCAGGCTGGAGACCTGAACTCCCAGCAACGATCGAGCTTGAACAAGTGTTTTAGCTACGTAGCTTGAAAAAAAATGAATAGGGCTTGGGGGTATATTATATTATAGTTATAATAAGGAACCACCAAAACCCTATTGTAATTATTAAGGCCCCTACGTAGCCCCACAGGACAAAGCCCGCATATCTATTTCGTCAACTGCCCAAGCTTCAACCCAGCGCCCCTAAAGCCACGTTTATGCAATGCTAAAAACTCTACAGTGTTAAACTTTTATCTAGTCAGCCCGACGCATGGAACCCCCCTACACCGTGAACTCCGAAACCACAACTGCCCAGTCAGCCTGCATCGGGGCTCTGATCTATGCTGCGGTGGTGCTCGTGCGCTCGAGCTTCCCGACGAAGGATCCTCATTTTCAGGTTAGTTTCAAGGATTCTGGCATTGAGGCGTCTAGGGCGAGGCGCCTGCTGGGCTAGCTGGTTTCGGGTTTGGAGCCTGTTCGGCATCCGCAGGAGTGATAGAAATTGGTGTTGCTTGCAGTTCTAGGTATTGTGTCGCCCTTACGGCGTAGCATAGCAGTAGCCCAATTCGCAATGGGTTTTGGAAGGCAGACGTGGCTGGGTTAAAGGAAGTTCATGGTTTGGGGCAGGGGTTCTGGTTAAGGGCCGTTAGGGCTTTGGGTTTAGGGTCAATTGTGTTTTCCGTTCTCGGCTTGCAGACCCCCGGATTGACCTCCTCTGTGTAAAGTAAACCTCAAACCCCTGAACCAAGCCCTAAACCCTAAACCCCTAAACCCTAAAAGTTTCTAAAGACGCCGTTCTCTAACTTGCAGGAGTTGGCGCCAGCTCAAGCAGCCGTTACGGATGCAGGCCGGGAAGCAGAACAAACACGAACACCGTTTAGGGATTTAGGATTTAGAGCGACAAGTTTGAGGCTCTGTTCTATGGCTTTGCACCCTACTGGACCCTCCTGCGCGTCGAGACTCAAGCCCACAAGGGGGTTCCGATGCTGAAATCCAAACCGTAAATGATTTATCCTAAACCCTAAACCGTGTATTTACAACCGTACGCCTTCAAGCCGAAGCCAACGATCCAATGTCTGGATCCCTTTAGCCTCTCGGATTTGGAGGACTCACACCCGGTGTGGTGAAAGCTGCTCTGTTTCTTTTGACTTGCTAGCTTCCCTGGAATTTTGCGACAACCATCGCCTGGATATTGGTACTCTCCCTCAGTAAAGGGTAGAAGTATGGGCCTCTGATGTGGAACTCGGGTTTTGGGCCGCCATATATAAAGGACATCTCAACCCTAAACCCCAAACCCCAACCCTAAACCCCAAACCCTAAACCCGCCTTTCCATCTCAAAGCTCGTGGGTTTGCCCTATGCGGCAGGCCACAGCCAAGCGGCATCCTTGGTGGCATGGCAGATTGCAGCACATGTCCGAAACCTTAAGCCCAGAACACCAAAACGATACAACCCTTTTGACGCTTAGGTTGAGCGTTTCGAGTGCCATAGCTTTTGAACCTTCGACGAAGTGCATCAAACAAGCAGCTAGAAGTTGGTAGGTGCATGTTGGGTGTTGCGGGTTCGGCCCTTGTGGTTTATAAGTTCATGGGTTCCCCACCTGCATCGTGAGCCTCGACAGCAAGAACTGCTAAGGTTGCCGGACGTCCAGGCCACTTTGATGCAGTTGGAGAGACGTCCTGTGGCTGGAGCTGTGGAATCTAGCATTGCCGCTTGAGGGCTTTGGGATTGAGCATCCACGGTAGTGTGCAGGTTTCGGGCTGGATCTTTACAATCATATTATTACAGTGACCCTCCAGATGTCTAAGGGCCATATTTGAGTGCCTCTTGTGCACAGAGCTGTTGAGGTACCTATGGTACCTATGAACGAGAGTACTGCAATACAGGTCCTGAGCTTTGCCAACGTAAATCAACGCAGGTTTCGGGAATAAGCATCATATCGTGAGACAACCCAAGTTTCTTGCTGCGGCAAGTTTGGTACTCAGGTTTGCCTGCCCTAAACCCTAAAGCCTAATGCTCTCTGCCCCTTATCTCCTGTCCCAGTCCATAGGACCATGCGAGGAAGATCAAGTCACTGACCCCCAACCCTGAAACCGCCCCAAATACCCTGAAATCCTAAACTCTGTAGCTGCGCCTGGCCCTACACCCCCACTAGCCATACAGAGTGTTCCCAGCTTTGAAGCCTGACTTTGAGGATTCCACGCCGTGCACAAGCTTGCAGAATCCGTGCTCCTTCCCGTGCTTTGGCTTACGATCTCAGGGTTTCGAGATTTGCGAAGGGTTCAGGGGTTGGGGGATTGACGACTTCAGGTTTTCCCCGAGCCCTAAACTCCTAAAAAGCCTAAATCTCAAACCCTGAGGCTTGGGCCTAGTCTCATCGATCGGCAGTGTCTCTTTGAGACTTGAGGCCCGGCTGCCTCTGGTGAAGGCACCCCCTTGAGAAGGTCGGCTTTTATTATTTGTTGTTTAAGAAGGTCGGCTTATAAACGAGGTACCTAGCCTTAATGCAGTTGAGAGAATAAGAAACGCCGTTCTAATTCTGGTAGTCGTCGTCGTAGTCGTGGTAAGTCGAAGTAGTCGTAGTGGTAGTCATAATCGAACCATTTATCATGTTGATGGTATCAAGATGGTCGAAGTAATTAGACATGTAAGGCTGGAGCCTGAACGTACATAGCTCATCCAAAAGGGCAGCTGGGACACGAGGGCCCTCACACTGCCCTAGTTCCTTCCCCTGCAGGATCGAGCTTCCAGCCGCTGCAGAGCTGATATCCATCCAGCTAAACGCCAGCTTCCGAAAATGTGGGCCCCAAGCAGACCCCGTACGCTGGGACCTCTCTTGCTTATATGGGTGCAGAAGGAAGAGCCCCCTAAAGGAAGTTCTGAAAAGCTGGAAGATCCGCAGCATGCTCTTTCGATGGGTTGGCGCAGCCCATAGTTTGAAATGAGACGCTATGGCGAGGGAGAACTAAGCAACATAACCATGGTCAGGATAATCTTGGTGATGGTGAATGTAGTGGATGATGATAAACATTGCGACGAAGCTCTGCTTAACAGTGTTGAGCCGCATTCTAGAGCCCTGAGCCTGGCAACTCCAAGGTGATGCGTTTCTTTGATTCCTTCAGTGTGCCGGAAGATGTGCGCAGAATCGCAGACGCTGGCCGGCCCTTCAGCCCTAGACATACTCCCTCAACCCCTGACCCCTCGACCCTAGACTTTCCCTAAATCCAGAAAGCCCAGTAAACCTTCACCGGGAACCCCTGGGCTTCCAAGCTAAGATGCCGAGCCGCTTGCGCCCCCCGCAGCTACGGAAGTTCAAACTTTCCTTGGCTTCCGCCAAGAGCTCAAGCTCCTAAGGAGAAGGTAGGTGTTACATTCGTGCTAACTTATAAACAAAGAGTTGAAAAATGAGGGCCTGGACTTTTAGCAAGCCCTTCATTTGCGAAGTATCATATTCCTCTGAATCTGTTCTGATCGCCTCGGCCCTCGTCGTGCTAAGCCACAAAATCAAAAATCCTCTAAACGTCCAGACTCAGACTCTGTGCCCCTAAATCCTAAGCTTTATTTCATTCCGCACCTTAAACCTCAAACACGATAAGCCCCAGGCCATAAGCCCATGAACCCAAAGCTCTATAATGTAGGAGCCTGATTAAGAAACCCTGGTCCTATAATCCCAATGTTTCAAGAACCCAAACAAAGGCCCAAGGTTTCTTAATCAGGTTCCTACATTCTTATAGTACCCTTATAGATCCCTGAAAGTAACCCTTATAGACCCCTTTAAAGTAATTACCCTTATAGATCCCTGAAAGTAACCCTTATAGACCCCTTTAAAGTAATTACCCTTATAGATCCCTGAAGTAACCCTTATAGACCCCTTTAAAGTAATTACCCTTATAGATCTTTTAGAGTAACCCTTATAGACCCCTTCAAAGGAACCCTATCTTCCATCCCACCATCGAAGGAGCGACGTGCGGAGTTTCACGGCGGCAGCGCCGGCCGCAGTCCGACTACCATGGGCCACGCGGCTTCACACATAAGGGGATCCCTTTAAAGGGTTCCTATAAGGACTACTATAAGGGTACTACAAGGGATCTATAAGGGTATACTATAAGGGGTTCTATATTGTAGGAGGCCAAAGGGAGTTTTAGCCTATGGGGGTTTAGTAGGGATTAGGGTTCCCATAATAGGGTTCATATTAAGGAATCCCTACCCCAAGAATCTTAAACCACCCTCTTGGCCTCCCATCATCACACTTTACCCGAAACCATGAAAGGCTCCTGTAACCCGGAGACTCCCAGACCCCTTATCCAAGGAATATACCTGAAGTTATAGTATATAGAATCCCAGTATGATTTTAAGGTATGCTCCTTAATTAAGAATCATAGTATGTAGGATCCCCAGGATGATTTAAGGTATATTCCTTATTTGAGGGAGATTGGAGTCCCTAAGAGGGGTTCCGATAATCGCGTTCCTTTCGAGGGTACGATAAGGGTTCGATAATAGGGTTCCTCTATCGTTTTTTCTTTAGAGTGTCTGAACACTACAAGTTTCTAGAAGGGGGTACTACACGGGTTCGATAGTATGGTTCCTCTAGGGTTGTTCTTTAAAGTGTCTAGAACACTACAAGTTTCTGGAAGGGATCTACCAGGGTCTGGGGCTTCGGAGTGGAGGGCTTTCAGATTGGAGTTGAAGGGTTGATGGGTTTAGGGTTTAGGGTTTAGGGGCAGGGATATCGAGGAAAGTTTAGGGTTGAGGCTTTTGAGCCTGAGGTTTTAGCGTGTTGAGCGCAAGGTTTGGGATTTGGAGGTTTCCGAGACCTGCAAGTGTACTCCGTTTGTGGATTGAACCTGAATCCCTCATGTGTTGGAGCCCTGTCACCACAGCCATTTGTAGCTCTAACCCCGAAACCCTGCGCTAAACTCCAAACCCAAACCCCCAAACCGCACACCCTGTGGCGCAATGTAGGGGCCTTAATAATGTATAGAATAGGCTTTGAAGGAGTTCCTGATTATTTGTAGTAGAATATACCCCCCAAACCCCATTCCAGTTATTAAGGCCTCTGCACTCGGTTATCCAAGACGCTTAGATTGAAGGCGTCTTGAGTTTGAGTTTCGGGTTGTCTGACCTGAAATTTAGGGTTTAGGGTTTAGGGGTTTAGGGGTTTAGGGTTTAGGGATTATCCATGAGTTTAGCATCTGGGCTGGGGTGGGGGTTGCTTAGGCACGCGGGGTTGGCACTGGATCTCAACCATCCTAGACTCCTAGACCCAAACTAACAGCCCAAGGAAACCAAAGCCCTCCGCTACCTAGGCGCCAGTGGCAGCGAGCCAGAACCAGAGGCGCGTAGCATTGCACGCTTGGAACTAAGATTGCATGTAGACCGTGCCTGGAAAATAAGCATGCGTGCGTTCCCCCCAAAGTGTTGCGAACGTTGATGGAAGTACCGCATTCTGAGTAGACGGAAATCGGAAGGGGCTCACAATCTCGGGAGCAGGTACAGTTCCAGCTCAGTAAGGTCTGCCTACATGATGCAAGACTTGGGATTCATATTGCCACTGGAGTAGTCAGCTTCGGCACTTTGGCGCTAATTACACGGCTGACGCTCGCCAATTGTCCCAACCATTCCAAGCCGGAATCGAGATCCGACTGAAGTATACCACGGTGTAAGGAAGGTAGTGGAGCTAACAAGGAGCTGAAACAGCAATGATTCTCGTCAGAACTGCGACAACCATGAGAAAGATGATGGGAGTAAGACAACGACTACTATGTTCCAGGTGCTCTTATCTCTGGCAATGATGAGGCCTGGGGATACACACTCAGGTTGATATTCATTGTGGCGTTGCGCCATCCAAACTAGGTGGGGTATATGATACTTTAATTAGAATATGGAACCCCCAAAACAGTATAGGTAATTGTTAAGGCCCCTACAGTACACTTTAGCCCTGAAGCCGAAACTCTTCATTTCCAGCAGGAGATGCGGCGGCCAGCGGTGCTGGAGGCCATTTTTCCTGATTTTAGGGTTGAGTGCTTGCGTTGCAAGCGCATGCTTTTGGGATTCGTGTGATGGTGAGTCAGTTAAACGACTCAGCTAGGGGGCTGGGGGCGGGGGGGGGGAGTCATTGAGTCATCTGAAAGTCGGAATAGGACAGCGCCGGAAACTGGACTGTGACGCTTTTTCCGGGCTCCACCTGGTTTTCCCCAGCTCTTCGACTCTTCGCCCTATAGCCTCCAGGTGTGTATGGAACTGATATGTCGAAGCACTTCCTAGTTATGTGAAGGGCTTGGGGCGAACGTCGGCTGCATGAAATTTGAGTGTTTGCGCCCTGAGAGCCATACTGCGATGTGCTCACAGTGTCTTTATGACAGCAGAAGGCTTGATTTTGTAAGAATGCAATGATGGGTAATTGTTTTGACTACTTCGGCCAAACACCACAACCGTGTTCGTACCTTCGTGATTGGCTGCATGGTTCCTATGCTTCCTCCAATTCCATCTGTCAACATTCTGGTTCCCATTTCAATCAGTAGAAGCTTTGAGGCTGCTTCTTGCTGTGACTGCTACCGACACATTCCAAGCCCTAAAAGGTTTAAGTTCCTAACTCTCAGCCCAAAGCACCATGACTCTAAGCCTCTGCAGGCGCTGTTGGCGGCTGAAGACGCGACGCTTCAGCCACTTCAGGTAGGACGTGTGGGAGTTCAGGAGGGCTGGTCCATCAAAACACTTCGAAATCGGTAAGACCTGTTTTTCGATGTTCTACTGCACCTCGGCAGATGTGAAATCTACGCACTGTACGATGCATGCAAAGTTTTGTGGGCAAAGGTGCATGTGATGTGGTCAGAAGGTGTAGGGATGTATCTGAAGATGCAGAGGCTACCGGGAGAGGCCCCAGGATGAACGGGAGAGGCCCCAGGATGAACGCGACAGGGCTTTCGGTCTGAGAGTTGGAGTCGTCGGCGCTTCATGATGTAGGGGCCTTAATGATTAGAATTGGGTTTGGGGGTATATTATACTCTGACTGTGATAAGGACCCCCCCAAAAAAAAAAACATATTCTAATTATTAAGGCCCCGACATCACTCTCCATCTCAAAGCTTTAGGCCCTTGCGCCCAACAGCCTTCACAAATTGTCAACATCTTGACATAGGGGGCTCATCGAAATCCTGAGCCCTGAGCTGCAGAGCCTTCACCCGAAACTCTGGACCCCCGCAGCCCAAAATCCGCCCGAAAACTTCTTGGCCTTGAATGGCTTAGTTACTAAACGATAGACGTGCACGGCTTTTGCCCGCGGGCATTTAGAGCTGTAGAGCTTACAAACAGGAAAGAAGCCTAAACTTTAATCCTTAGAATCCTCAACTCCTCACCCCGAGTACCTTTATCCTCGGCGCTGGAGGATGTGCCCGCAATGCCTCGACCAGCATCCCCTCGCTTCGGGGACGAGGCCCGGGCCTTTTGAGGTGGGATGTTTGGAGTTTAAGGCTTGGGCGTTGTGGAGTGGCTGGGCGTTTCTGACCCATACGGAATTCATGTGTTTTTTCGCTGGGTCGGCATCATGTTCCACAGTTCCATAGTACATCACGCTATCGCGAGAAGAATGCTCAAGCACAGCAGTACGATTACGACATACTGCTTTGCGACCTGCGGCAACGTCAGTCTGTAATAGTGTTCTGCATGTGCACAGTATCATAACGATGTAGTTAACTGTGCGACCAAAAGAGAGTAGCATATTTTGGCAGCTAGACGGTATGTCAAGTAGAACACTTTTTGCCAACTTTTTTACGTAACAACAGTCTGGTACCGCAGCCTGTGATCATCATCTGTAACACGAATGCACCAATGGAGGACTACGCAGACAGTTGCACGATGTTCGGCCAGTTATCCGAAATAGCACTGCGTCATGTTGCAGACCAATTCGCATTGTTGTCATGCTGAAACCATCAAAAACGGAAATGCAGCTATAAGTTTAACGCGTCAATGCGTAAGGCACATTGAGCAATGTAATGCTGCACGGATAGACGAAGACAGGATCGTGGCACTTGCGCAGTCCGTTACCAATGCAATATTTCACAGCACGGAAATTGTATCAAACCACACACGAGTATGTTGCAGTTATGACAGTCCTTTGTTGATATAGCACTGCAGAAACATAACGTAGCGCGTTGTCGGTGTAGACGTTGTTCTCTGACACACCCTGTGGCGAGGCCTCCGGCCGTGCCGAAAGATCGTAATGAGCGCCACACAGCCGGATTGAAAGCTGCTTGTCGCAGGCAGATCATCCAGCTGACCAAGCACGGGCGCCAGCCGCCTGAGTGTAGCACTAAACATGACAGATGAATACAAAGACAGGCCATTGTTCTGTTTAGAGTGGCTTGCCATTTTGATTCGTTCTGGTGTGCGCACAAGAAGCCCCGTACGATGAGAGTGGTGCTGTGCCAATCTACTGTGATTCCTAACTACTCCCTCACGACCGAGCCCGAGCTGAAGAAGGGAAGGCCGAGTTCGTACTTGTTTGTTTGTCGAGTTGTGGCCACAACACATGTAGCAGTTCGGCTTTTCGGCTTGAGGGCCCCGTGGGCACATTGGAGCAGAAGTTTGATGGCCTTACCTTATTTCTGCGCGAGAAGCATCCCAGAATTCCCAAGATTGAGGAGTGGATGCTGCATCCGAAGATTAGAGGCAAACCCAATAGATAGAGACTTAAGCGTGGCCTCAATCAGCCAAGACATCCCTAGGGCTCCAGTTACCTAAGTATTAGGTTACTAACCATATATATATATATACACATATACAATATGTATATATATATATATATATATATATTATGTATATCTATATATATATATATATATATATACCCCAGTAGCCTACTATTCAGGTAACTGAAGCCCCAAGACATGACAGCTCCCAAGCCCAGAGGGTCTTCGCGGGGCCGCTTCTCGATTTCTCAGCTGTCCGGAGAACGTCTTTCCATTTGTAAAAGCAGGGACCCTTAATAAGGACCCCTAGGTCCTAGGTATATACCCTTAATATAACTATTATATACCCATTATATAGCCCATTATAAGGTAGGGGTCCCCATTAAGGGTCCCTCCTTTTCCCCTTTGAGTCTTTTAAAGGGTTCCTTAAATTGGGGTCTATAAGGGATCTATAGTAGGGTTCTATGGTATACTGTAGGGGCCTTAACAATTAGAATAGGGTTTTGGGGTATACAATACTATAGTTATAACCAGGAACCTCCAGCACAGTATAGGTAATTATTAAGGCCCCTATAGTAGAAGCCCAGCTGTCTACATGGTTATTTGGGGACAGTTACTAGGTAAGTATGCGGGCTTCTAGGGCGCATTCAGGGTCTAGCTAGGCCATGTTGTATCCTGCCAGGTTCCGCGGCAATGCGTTCAAAGTGCAACACGCCACAAAACGTCGAGCTTGTAATATAGGGGCCTTAAAAATTGCCGATGTTGTTTTGGGGGTTATCATAATGTTAGGAAAAATGGGGCCCAAAGCCCTCTTCTAATTATTATAAGGCCCCTATATCAGACGCCGGGGCGTAAACCCAGGCAGCTCCAAGCCTCTAACTGAAGCCCCCAAAATCCGAGGAAACCAAGAGCCGCTCTTAGCCCCAAGGCCTCTCAAACTGCGCAACCCCAAAGCCCCACAACGGCACCGAACTCCGAAGCCGATGCAATGAAGACAAGATCTTAAACAATAGGAGAGCTCAGGTGTTTTTGGGTTTAGGGATTCGGGTTTAGGGATTAGGCTTTAGGGTTGAGGGATTTGGGTTTAGGGATTGGGGTTTCGAGATTCGGCTTTAGGGATTAGGCTTTAGGGCTTAGGGATTGAATTGGGGTTTAGGGATTAGGCTTTATAGGCTTTCGGCTTTAGGGATTCAATGTGGGCTTAGGGCGTAGGGAGGAGAGCTCAGGGATGTCCTTGCTCTTCAACAGCTTTCAAAAGCGACACGATTCCGACATGTCCTTTATTGTTGGACTCGAGCATGCGCCGTAGTCGTGCCGCACTCCTGGCCGTCGGAGTAGGCAGCAGCAGAAGGAGTACGGGGTGGGCATAAGTAAGATCAGTAGAACTTGGTGTTAATTGCTGTTAATCTGGTTTCCTGTTTCTGTCAACACAAGGGCAGTGGCAAAACAGTATGAATACCATGAGCAGCATCTGGCAGCTCCACAGGTATGCCCATAAATATTCCTGCTAGCGAAGGGCACGAGCGATCATGGGAAGAAGACGGATCTCAGCAATCAGCCACATGGTGTCAAACTGCTTTTGCGCTTAGTCGCGGCACCTGTCTGAGGAGTGTACATTTCAAGCTGCAGAGGTCTTGGATGACCGCAGTCGCCGGTATGCAGGAGATACGATCAATGATACTAGCATGCGGGCTTCTAGAGTTTAGGGATCAGGGTGGGGATATCAGACATCGAGTGCTGCTGGTGTAGGGTTCCCGGGCATCTAGAAAAACAGAAGCTTCAGTTCTTTGGATCAAGCTTTGTTAATGTCCTACGATTTCTGATGCCCAAACTCAACAGCTCGCATTTTCCACCGGCTTCGGCGGTCTTGCAGGACAGTCAGCACACACAGGAGCACGCTCGCTTGAGCAGTCAAAGGAGCTGAGTGTAGAGCGGTTTGTGCTCAAGATAACCTGATTTAAGATCCAGCATACCTGTAGCCTCCATCAATTGTAGTTCCTAATCTGGGTCATGTTGATCATCCTAAATTTCGAATGGGTGAATCCGAACAAAGGAATAACAATGGAGGCTTCGGCCAAGCTGAGACTCGAACCCAGCTTGCATGACACGGGGGGATGTTCATCACGGGGTCAGCTCAGGTTGGGTTCAAAGCCGGTTGCAACCATGTGCTGGTATCTCAGCGGACGATCATTTACAAAAAAACTCTTTCCAGTGCACAGATCAAGTGCTGGGAGCCGCGTTGATCAATCGGGCGTCTACCAGCCTGCCTTGTCGCAACACCCCCAATTTCTACAGACAGAACACTTCAAAACCATCGATTGACAAGTCTCCCCAATGCCTACACCCGAGCTTCTAAAATCTTAAACCCTGGGACTAGTTGACCGAACTTCTGGAAGCCCACGCCAGAAACGTTGAACGCACCTAATAAGATCATAAGAACCGACGAAACCTACTTGGAGCCCCGAAATCCCCTTTAAGGGGGCAGAGGGAGGTTGTAAGCAGGCTTTCAAGAAGGGCAGTCCACGCAAGACACTTCTACAAACTCTAATTCTGCACATGGCCAACATTGCAAACTGTAAACGCCAAGCCTCAAGTGCGATCCGAAACCCCTAAGCCCCAAACTCTGCCCGCAGATTGAACCTCTCAAAACACAAAATCCTGGACACACCTTAAACCCATCTACAGAATCGTGGCAAGTGTTTGATCGGTTTTCTGTTCGCATAAGGCCCACACTCCTGGACCCTGGACCCCTCTCTCCCTCTAAACCTCATCCCCACCTCGGCGACCCTCAACCCCAAAGCCTTGAAATGCTAACATCCTTCCTACACCCTACACCTCTAACCCTACATTCTGACTTCCAAAATACTCGAACTATCTAAAGCCCCAAGCACCCTGAACTCCAAAAGCATGAAAACCCTAAACCCCTAAACCCTGAACCCTAAACCCCTAAACCCCTAACCCCTAAACCCCTAAACCACTAAACCCCTAAGCCCCTAAACCCCTAACCCCTACACCCCTAAACCCTAAACTTAAGCCCTGCAACCCTGACACAGGAGGGCCAATCCTTGAAAGTCCGAATCCTGGAGGCGGAAGCAACGAAGCGGAGGGTTTAGGGCTCCAAGAGTTTGGGCTCTAGGGGTTTAGGGATTCAGGGTTCAGGGTTTAGGGGTGCAGGGTGTATGGTATGGTTTGGGGTTTTGGTTTTGGGGTTAAGGTGTTTATGAGGATTTATGAGGCGTTTAAGGTCCAGAGTTTCAGGGTTCCAAGTCTAACATTCTGAAACATCACCCCTCAGCTTAAATAGTAATATTCCCTTCAAAAGCGAACTGGCATCCGAAACCGTAAGGCCTTAAACACCCTACTTGTATGTTGAAAACCTCAAAGCCTTAAACCTTAATCGTAACTAAGAAAGGACCGAAACTTTCGGTTCGAAATAGCTTCCGGATGTTGGTTATATTGTCATGGGATGGTCTTGCCGGCTTCAAGCCGCCCCAGATATTTGACCTTGAAGCTCCTCTCCATTTAGATGTTGGACTCCAATGTTGAGTGTGAGGTTTCAGTTGGGTATCGGTGGTTTGCAGTTGTTTTGGCGGGTTTGGGTTTGCTTCCTCGGGGCTTTAGTGCTAAGGTCATGAGTCGTAACTTGGGCGGCGCTTCCGCTCTTGTGCCACGCTGAATCCTGAGCCCTGCCCCCTTCATCATTCAATCACCCATTAGAACTCTACAGCTCGAATGCTGGGCAATAGACGCCTCAACTCTGCATCCTGAACCCGGATTTCTTAACATCCCGAAGCCACCCTGAACCCTTAAACCCCTATAAACCCTAACTCCTAAACCCCTGAACCCCTAAACCCCTAAACCCCCAAACCCTAAGCCGGGCACTAAAGGGAAATTTAGGGTCTTTGGTGGAATTTGCCCAAGCCTCGCCTTCCAAAGACGCTAGCTGCCTTTCGTGTCAAATTCCTAGACGGTTTAGGATTTATGCTTTGGGGGTTGGGGTTTAGACTTTAGGGTTTAGGGTTTGATATGAGGTATCCACGACAACCCTAAACCGTAGTTAAACCCTCAAGACCTAAAGCCCTAAAACCTGAACCCGGAAGAGCTAAGCCCTAATCCCATCTACTGGAATACTTACCTAGACTTTGTTGTACAACTTTCGAAATCAGCAAACCGTAAGGACCTTGCCTCTTTAGGTTCGGACACATGCATGTCGCAATTAGTGTCATTCGCGGGTCCAAGCCTTCAAGTAATTCAGTTCACAAATTCAATCTACCAGGATTTATTCTATGGTATCCCATCATCCCGAACCCAAAGTCATCCCCCCAAACCCAAAGCCCTAAAGCTATAGCTATATACTAAGCCCCAAACCCAAGATGTCAAATCAGTGAGAGTTTGCGAAAATAGGGGACACTAATAAGGATCCTTATCATAAGGACCCCAAAATAAGGTACCCCCAATTTTCGGAAACTCTAAATAGCACCCTTAAAGATCCGTGTAGGGAGCCTTTAACGGATCCCTTTACAGGCAGCCCCAATTTTCGGAAACGCCCAAGTGTCCCGGAGGTGTCCGAGAAAGGCCTTGCGCTTTCTCTCAAGCAGCCAGCATAAAGTCAG